ATCTTAATTCACCTGTGGATAATTCTTTGAGTTTTAACGCACCCAAGCCTAGCTAGTTATGCATGGTGGTTGATCCACAGGATAAAAAAGGGCGTCAGGTGAGTGCCAGTCTAGGAAAGCAGTTAGTTAGGCTGCTGGAATGACCTGGAAATCAACTCGGTAAGTTTCAACCAGAAATAACACTCACGATTGTGGTGTGGCCATCTATGCTGGTAAGCCTAAGCTTTACTCAGACTGCCTGTTGACTCTTTGGTTCAGGCCCCCTAACCCAGTGGTCAAAGCGTGCTTTACACCGTCTCGTCTGGAGAAGGTATAAAATAGTCCGCATGGCTGTTAAAGGATGTACTTTCAAACGGCGGTATGATGAGAGTGCCGAGGCACAAAATCATTTTACAATACACAGACGCACTCTTTTTCCCTGGAAACTCGACTGTCTGCACACATAAATAAATTGATCGCTGGACGTTGGGTCGGTTCGACGAACTTATTTGATGCCTTACTCCAGCAATCAACCAAACCCAGGCTTTGTACTGGATTATACACACCGTAACACTGACACTGTGCTCGTTTCATTTTTATGCTGGACTGACATTTGTGTCGTTCACTCTTGGCTTTGCATAGACATTTTGCTTGCACTCACACACTATAAGACAGCTAGCCACTCTCCTTTGACTATCACATCTTTCTCGTCGTGAATTTAGATAACATTGATACTGAAATTTGTCAAGTGCATTATTACTATTACCTTGCATTCCGTGTGGAACGTAGGGATGCAATAACAAATCTTCACTTTGTTCTGTTTTCTGCCGTCCTCTTCAGGTAGGTCCATGATTGACCAAAGTCTCTCATCTCTTCCTCACACGACCTCCTCCACGTCACTCTCGCAGTGACGACACACACGTCGCTTCCCACTTCGAATCCACTCGACGGCATAGGGTGTAACATCATTCGGCGACCTCCTCGATGTATGCCCGATCCATCTCCACTTTCTCCTACATATTTGTTGAGTTATCGGCTCTTGGTTGGTTTTTTCCCATAGCTTCTTGTTGCTTATTCTTTCTGGCCATTTGATCTACAGTATGGAGCCAGTGAAGTGGTCAGATGCTGGTGAAAGTCTGCAGTAAATTGTTGGAAATCCTTTTCTTGAATTACACGCAGTGCAAGTTTCTGACCCGATTTTCTCTGGTGTTGAAAATCCAGCTTGTCTGAACGAATTCAACAACTAGATCTGCATATTATCAGCTACAACCGAACAAAGAGCATACAAAGTGGTACATATACCAGTCATACTCTTGAAAGGACTATATATTGTATCCCCTATGATAATCCCAAAAGAATTGCTCATTAATCCTCAGCAACAAATATGTGGGTACTTTCATTTCAATCAGAGTTTGAAACCTACTGATATCAATGCTTCAAAAAGTGGCTAGCGTCTCATTAGTAAACAGAGAAGAGAAGGTTAGACCATCGCGTAAAGATAACAGATTTGCACTTATCTACAGAGATAGTAGACCAGTTCTTCAAAAATATACTGGTACTGCAAACATCCCACTTATCTCCACACACTTCATAATCTCATTATAACTTTTACAATTGCCTTTATCCCTACTGATCTCATTCTTTCCTTTTCTTCATTTATGTTGGGTGTGAGTGCAATTACTATGTTTTACTTGGTTTACATCCAGTAACCTTGTATAACCTTCCATTTGTTCTGTCTATCCATTTTATGGACTCCCTCCTCACTTCCCTCCAACTCTTTTTTACAGTGTTTGTTGACCTACCTGGAGAATTTCCCAGTGAGACTATATTTTTAGGTATTACTAGCTTCAACGCTGTGGTACAAATCGTGCAACGCCCTACATAACGCTATTGTGGGCTATTTCATTGCCTTCAGCAAATCTCCAGGATGTAGGGCAGTGAAATCCACTAAAAACGTAAAATCGATCTTATAAACCGAGAAGTGATCTCGAAGAAGTCACAAAAATTACGCAAGCTTGACAAACAGTTGTTGGGTATTGGACTAGTCAGAGTTTGATCATTGAACTCCTTTGCAACTAGCTTGCGATCACATGACCTTGGAGCGTTTTGAATCGTTTTTCGATGGGTACGAATATATCAAAGACTCTTGACCAGTCTGAGGTCGAGGAAATCGCCGAAGAAACTGGATGTAAGTCCTATAAGTGGATTTGTCAATTCCGATATTAGTTTCTCCTAAGCAGATATATCGCTTGTACAACAGATATTCGGCACTGGATAAGACAAACGCAGGATATTTAAGGTATGCCTATCATTTTGTCTGTAGTCTTGCTATAGTTCACATTTTTGTTCTTAGTGGCTTGCATTTTCTGCCACTGAAGTTTTAGTTCATACCTCTAAATACTGTAAGTGATTCGTGTACTTTTAGGGTAGATATATGCTATTGTGACCGAGTAAACGAAGAAAAGGCACTTGAGGGTGCTTATTGATTAGATGGGAAAAGGCGCTCATATATGTGTCTGAAGGATTATTGTTACCTGTTAGAACAACACCCCGAACCTTTTTGACATCGGCATGGTTTCAGGTTTCTTGAAAAACACAAAAGGGTGTCATATGCGGTGGTATCCGGAAGAGATTTAAAGTGCTTGAGAATTAGAACGTGTCGACAAGTGTAGACTACTGCTATAAAACCTTATTATTAGTAGATATAGATGCATTTGTTCCTTTCATCTTTTAGATTCAGGAAAGCCTTACTTCTCCACTAAATTTGTGTACAAAAATGGCTCGTCCTTAAATTTTTCCTATTAGGTATTATTCCTTTTCTACTAGTCTTTGGCAGTTCTCTTTTTTTCCCTGTGTTCATGTTTTATTATGCATTATGTTAGGTTTACTAAGCCACAATAAAGACCAGTTTTTGCATTCAGGTAAAAGTGAGTTTGAATACTATCATATATACGGTTTTGATTTAGATAGGATCAATTTTTAAAATCAGAGTGGCTGGTCGGAACCTCTCCCATCATTGACGCAATAGCTCTTATTGTTGTCCTTAGCTTAATATAGAAGTTCAGAATACTTGACTTTCAAGGAGTCAGCAACCGTTGGTGATAGAATTAAGTGAAAAATGCAGTCGTATAACCTCATCAGTCACTTCACTATGCCAAACAATTGATTTCCAAGTGAAAACATTTTTGAAACAGCGAAGAGTAAGGCCAAAAAATCTCTACCATCGTTAAGTTCCTCAGAAAGGTTGACGAGGATTATCGTTCATAAGGTTTACTTCTGAGTTTAATTCGACATTTTCATAGATGGTATGTTAAAGGGGGAAAATAGTATTTCACTGCTAAGATCGATCTACTGAAGCCCATATCTTCACAACAGTTGCCTTACTCTATCTTTTGAATACCACTAAGGGAAATCCATTCACTTTCTATTCCCTAGAGTTTCGAAGATGTGCCTCAATAGTGTGATCTATAAAGAGGACGAAGATCTCAGAAAAGTTGATATCCTTAAAGGTTAATTGATAAAAGCGTTATGAATCTCTCCTTCCCAGATCACAGTGCTGAGGAACAACAATAAATTTGAGATTCCAACTAAAGACTGGTGTATTCAACAGTTGTATTTCTAAGCTCGTCAGAGTAAATTTATTTAGTAATGTCACACAATGTTAGTAATATTTTACCAATGACGTTTCAAGCCCAATTTATTGCTCATAATCCTATCAAGGTACTCATACAACTTTGCAACTAACGTATATAAACGACGTTGGAAAGTTGTGTGACTAACTTGATAGGATTATGAGCAATAAATTGTGTTCGAAACGTCATGATTAAATAATTCTGTGTAATATTCTTACCTTATCAAATGAATTTCCTGGAGGAGAAACTTCGACGGGAACAGTCTCGGTTCAGGAAAAACAAGTCATGTATTGATCAAATCGAGACACTACGGATCACCACTGAACAAAACTTGGAATAGCAGTCACTTCTCTATCTCAACTTCATCGACTTTGAAAAGGCATTCGATAGTGCAGCGTCGATCGAGAGGTGATTTGCAAACTACTTCACCACTACGGGGTGCCATCGACAGTTATACATCTCATCCAACAGTTATACGACAATGCTGCATGCCAAGTAATCAATAACGGGAAGTTTACGGAATCCTTTGAAGTGAATACGGGAGTGCGACAAGGCTGCCTACTGTCGCCAATTATCTTCCTGATTGCAGTAGATTGGATAATGCGACAGACAACGGGCAATGAGGAAACAGGCATAAAATGAACGCACACGAAAAACTTGGAGGATCTGGACTTCGCCGATGACATATGTCTGATTTCCCACAAACGGGAAGACATGCAAGCGAAAAGCAACAAGTTGGCAGAAGAATCATCAGGAGAAGATAGGACTTCCCTCAGGTGAGCATAGATAAAACAGAAGTGATGAAGATTCCTGGCCAACACCAACAACAACAACAACAGACAACAATCAGCCAGCATAAATGGGAGGAACCTGAAAGAAGCAATCTTTTTTACCTACCGACATGGGAAGCATCATTTCAACTACAGGGACGGAACTGACGAAGATATCAAAGCCAGAATCGGGAGAGTATGGCAAGCTTTCCTTTCTCTCAAGTCTATGTAGAGGTCAACAGCACTCAGCATGAATATAATGATATCCGGATTTTCAACTCCAATGTGAAGTCATTGCTACTTATCATACGGATCAGAGACTTGGCCAGCGCGTCATAAAGAGCATCTCAAACAAACTACAGACCTTCATTAACAGCTGTCTTCGCTCAATACTCATGATTAGATGGTCAGTAAAGATCAGCAACAGGGATCTCTGGGAATGACCGAACCAACACAACAGGAACCGATTGTGAAAGAAATAGGCAGGAAGAAATGGAGGTGGATTGGCTGGCCATACTCTGAGGAAACCATCAAATGACATCACTAGACAAGCCAATGCCCGAGTGGAACCAGGCCGAAAGGGAAGCGGGCGGCTAGTTGGTCGTCAGTGTGAAGGTGACTTGGAGGAGGTCATGTGAAGAGGTGATGAAAGTATGTGGGCAGACTTGGGGAGCGGGGTGAAAACGTTGGCAGAAAACCGAACGCAACGGAGACGCGCGACTGAAGCCCTAAATTCCTCTAGGAATTAAAGGAAGTAATAATAAATATCAAATAAATTTACTCTGATGGAACTATACTTAAACGCAATGTCGAAGTTCTAACCTTATACGTGTCTATCTGTATTAAAATCTTTCTATGCACCTGATTTCAATGACAGACTTAAGGCGGAAAATGACTTAATTACTACACTATACTACTTTCGCCTATGTAGACCACTATGTGTATCCATTATTTCACATCCCAATGTGGAGCTGACTACATTTGACTTTGAAAATGAGTTTTCCGAAAATGCGTTCTCGAACTCATCTAAAGTCTCACTTGTTTTTAATGCAGCTGATCAGCCGTTCGGTGCTTAGATTAACTTAATGTTACCAGCAAGCACTACTGGTTGGTTTAGATGGTTACCTACGTATATTTCACATTGCATCTAATTTCTTGATGCCATTTACAGTGTGCACTGGGTCACTTATTGTGTTTTCATTTTACCTAATTAGCAAATAATGATATTTTCCGGTATTTGCTTCAGTTTGCGAAATGTACTATGAGTATGTTGTGTAGAAAAAGCTCGAAAACTGATGATTAGGGACAAAGGATAATACAGTTTCAGCCACAAACTTCGCATGGAAATGCAGCTTTTCTGCGCACGTATCTCTGTGCAGTAATGCACTAGTGTGGTGCATTCAAGTGACAATATAATCATTGTAACTACTAATACTTGTATTCACTTAAAAACTTTTATGCATATCTGAGTTCTAAAGCCTCAAACGGTTGTCGCTTATGGTCTGCGATCACGCAAAACTAATTCTTCTCTTTCAGGTACAGTGGAAAATTAACAACTTGCAAGTTGTGTGGTTATCAGGTAGCTAATTCCTAGATACTTCCATAAGTACAGTGTATACGTTAGTCTTTCTGGTTGTTGCCAGTTGTTACTAGTTGTGGTTGCTACTTTCAGTATCATCACAATTTCCCCTATGTAGATTTGCGCTTCTACAATATCATTCCCACAGTTTTCAGAAAAACTTGTCGCTATAGATGCGATGATCTTTATTGACGAAAGGAGAACAGCGTGCATTTTGGAAAGCCTTCACGAATTATGCAGCACTTTCCAACTCAACAATCCAAGCGTGTTTTGTAAGTGAAGATAATGTAATGGAATTTGATAACGACAAACTTAATAAGCGTTCACTCATTCCTTGTAGTACGCGTATATGTACGTTATATATTCCGATTTACTACCTTGGAGAAATTAATTATAAGCTTATTTATTTGTATTTTGAAATGACGAGAGAAAAGTGCTTAACTCAGGTATTGTTGTGTCCTCGGAATTGGATGATGTACTTGCGAAGCTTTCGCCATCTCTTCAGACAACATTTTCAGCGATAACTTCACAGTGGAGGGAGCTTTTATAGTTCTTCACGATTAAAATGGTTGTCTTTCTTTGTGACCTTTACTGTGAAGATAACCACAAAGTTGTGTAGGCTGACTTTACTATGCGTGAAAATGTGACATACTTAGGCACTCAGCTTGCAGCCTGTAGTTTGAGTCTTGCTTCATCTACCTCAACGTGCCCTATTGAGTAATATAAGTATCATCAGCCTAGTACATGAGAACTTTGTTCCGCTCAGCTTAGTTTTAACCAACTAAATTGTATGTGAAGTTATCGCCGTTGATATTATCTAGAAGAACAATGAAGGCTTCTCAAATAAGTCATTTAACTGGGAAAATATTAAATCGCCAAAAAGAAATCACTTTTGTCAAGAAAAACAGTTTTCTTGGATAAAATAATTAATCTTTGTTTTTTCTCTCTCTCTGTGTATGTTTCAGACGTCATGATTTTTTGTTGATTCCTGAATTAGCCATTAATCCTCTTGGTGATCGTATTGTTAATGAATTTTTTAAAGATAGGTAAGTCTGTTGATAATTTTCACTCTCTCGGTTTTCATACACCCTACTACCTTAATTAGTGTTAGCAGGGTAATAGCATAAAATGTATTAGTACGAAATAGTGACTAATTGAACGACCAGTGTTTATTTACTCCTAATGTGACAGAAACTCTGAGAGGAGAGAATAGTCGTGAAAAAATATGTAAAACCAAGGTCACATTATTCTGCAAACATATTTGTATAGAATAGATGCAGTTGAGGCGGAGTGCTTTTTGTGAACCTTTAAACTTCAGCCTATAGACGTAAAGTGATAAGAGCTTGGCTTTTGACCAGACTATATATGCACTAACAACCACGCAGTATGAAAGTAAAATAAAAGACTTCATGCTTTAAGAAATTGCGATGGTTTTAATGTTGATTGTTAGTAAATATCCAATATTAACAGATGTAATTGATTGCAACAGGACAGGTGGATAACATACTTTCTCATAATTTTAAGGTAAAGTATAATTCCAAAATCAGGACAGACTGTGTATTTACCCTTCTATCAATGTTCACTTAAAGCAATTGGTTTTTTTTTGTCGACTGCGGAATGATAATGAGAACTTTTAAATGTTGTCTGTACACCTTTGGCATCTGTTGTTTATTTTGTAGCGGCATGTTTATTTCTTTACTCACCCTTTTTTGACTTTATTTTGCAACATTCTAACAACTTTAACGGATATTTACGTATACCGGACTATGCATCATTCATTTCGTCTATCTTTCGAGTTGAATCATTTATGTGAACATCTCTGAATTTCATACATGAGCGTATATAAACTAATTCGTCCTACTGATAGATATATGTAGACATTTTCACATATCTTGTGGTTTTTCTAAATACTATGATAGTATTATTATTCCCTTGGGTTTCGAGTGGAACATTGGGCTTCAATAGCACATCTCCATTTGGTCCTGCTCTCTACAGTCCTCTCCTCCCACGACTGTCCATAGTTTCTTGTCTCCTCCTCCCACGATATTTTCACTTTTAGATTCAGGCCCAACAGGTTGTTTCCCATTTGGGTGGTCTGTGTGTTTATTTTCGACATAGGACTACTTTGCACCGATGTGCGCCAGTACAAGTCGCCACACTCCATATAGCACACAAAGCAAGAGAAGAAAGTAGAAATGCGAAATGGAGACAGTAGACAGGGATGCGAGACAAAGGAAATAGTAATATCGAAGAATAATATAGTTTCATTGAAAATTATAAGTCACAAGAAGTGGATGCATCTGGGCCACTGAGAACGATTTTGAGCCATATCACCAATTGTCTCTGGACATTGGTGTTTACCGTCCCGAGGACCCAAACCAGGAAGTCTACTCCTTCCTACGTGACTGGCTTAAGCCAACTGTTGTGACTGTAATCGACTAGTGCCATGTTTTGGTTTGACCACCACCGCCACTAGCTCTTTTTCAGCCTGACCCTATGTCAGCTGACATTGCCCATTGTCGAGGAAGGTGATGGATGACTAGGCATACGTAACACATGTCCTAACCATCTCATTCGATGTAGCTTCACGGCCTCGTCTTTTGATTTCCCCTCCTTACCTAGCACTCGACCGATGCCCAACCTCAATATTGTTCACCTTGTTTTACCACTTAACACGGTGGATACAACGCAGGCACATATGATCAAAGACAGTTAATCTTTTCATGTCTTCAACTCTCAGTGGCCATTTCTCGCGGCCATAAAGGAGGACGGAGCAGACTGCTGAGCAGTACACATGCCCTTTGGTCGATAGCCGGCCGGATATCCCGTCTGAGCCAGAGACAGCGTAAACTGGCATGTGCAAAACTGGCTTTCTCTATCCGCGCTGAGATTTCATCAGCGACCAACGCGTTGGGGCTGATGCAACTTCCCAAATAAGTGAAGTGGTCAACACGCTCAGGCACCACTTCACTCCGTATTTCTAAGCTAGGAGTCAATGTAGTCCAGTCCTTCAGCCTCATCATCTTACATTTGGCGGGAGCGAGTTGCACAACAAAAATCCGCAGATTGCAGCTCATGGTGTTCGGAAGACTGCTGCGTTTTGTCAGCGTCTTCACCTTGAAGGACTACATCATCCTCATGCATATTCTAAGTCAACGAGATGATACCCTGGTAACAAGTCAGTCCCTGAGTCGCTGAAGTCAGCAGTTAGGGTTAATTCCATTAGTATATCTATGATGAAATTGAATAGAAATGGGGATAGTGAGCATCCCTGACGGACACCACTAATTATCACCACTTCAAATGATAACTCGCTGTAAGCTCTCACCTGGCTGGATGACTGCATGAGTTCGAATATAGTGAGTACCTTGATCAGTGTGATGTATTTTCTAGGTATCACCATAGTACCTCTCGGCTGATAGAATCGGATGCCTCCTTTAGGTCAAGAAATATGACGATTGTTGGACTCCGGTAAGTACGTCTATGTTCCAGAATCTGTCGGAGGGTGAAGATATGATCAATACACCCTCTTCCTGATCTAAAGCCTACCTGGTTCTCTCGTGTTTGTTCCTCCCGTGGACCGCTTAATCTACGCAATATTATTGAGCCTGGAAATTTAGGTACCATAGTAGTCAAGCTAATCTCCCTGTGATTGTCACAGGAAGACTTGTATCCTGTACATCAAAAACTTACACCAACCCAACTGGACTTCCTTTGATTCTCAGACGCTGCCTAGTACCTTAGTTAACGCCTACAGTAAACAGACCGTACCTAAATACCCCTGGAGTCATTCCATCAGGTCCCGCAGCTCGCCTCGTTTCGAACAAGTGATAGCCTTAGTAACATCAGTTAGAAAAGGAGGACCTGTGCCTATCTGTCTGTCTGTCTGTCTGTTTTCGACATAGAACTTTGCACAAATGTGCGGAAGTTCAAGTCGCCACATTCCGTGTAGCACGCGAAGCAAGAGAAGAAAGTACAAGAAAAGCATAATAGAAACAGTGAGCAGAGGTGTGAGACAAAGGAGTAATAAAGAAATACAAAACAGTTTCATTGAAGATCATAAGTCACAGGGAGTGGATGCATCTGCGCCACTGAGAACGGTTTTGAGCCATATCACCAATTGTTTCCAACCATAGATTTTTACCGTCCCGAGGACCCCAGCCTGGAAGTCTACACCTTCCTACGTGGCTTAGACCAACTGTTGTGGATTTCATTGACTGATGCCAAGTTTTTGTTTGACCTCCGCTAGCTTTTTTCCAGCCCGACCCTATATCCGCTAACATAGCTCGTCGAGGCAGGCGATGGCTTGGCATATATAACACATGTCCTAACCATCTCAGTCTTTGTAACTTCACGACTTCGTCGATTGATTTCCCCTGTTTACCTAGAACTCTACGCCTAACCTCCATGTTGCTCACCTTATTATGCCACTTTACACGGGAAATAGAACGCAGGCACCTATGATCAAAGACAGCTAGCCAGCATTTTCATATCTTCCACTCTGAGTGGCCAGGTCTCACAACCATAAAGGAGGACGGAGTGGACTGATGAGCAGTACACCCGCCCTTTGGTCGATAGTCGAACATCTCGTCTACGCCAGAGACGGCGTAAACTAACATGCGAAACGAGCCTGTGCCTATATCCCATTCACGGAGGTTCTAGATGTTGGGTAAGTTGAGCGTTCAAAGTCGTTTCGAAGACTTTTTGTTAGTTTTCGTTTGAGTAGCTTTCGCTCCTCATCATAATCGGAGCTCGCCGGAATCAGTCTTCTTGCGTCAATAAGTTCGGATGAGGTGGTAGAGATCCACTGGATCTTACTTACTTTTGGTTTTAGCTTATTAACAGCATGGTAAGACCTCAAGTGAAATAAGTCTCAGTCAGTATAGCTTGTTGGGTCATTGCGGTGTTCAAGCCCGACCACCACGTCAAGATAGCAGCTTTCGGTCGTGACCGTAGAGCCCAGGGGAAAACTGCTTGAGACCGGTCACACACGGCTTGTATGAACCGGTTTCTTGGATTGGTTCCGTATTCGTAAACTTACCGCCGGTTACGGACCATCGTAGGGTAAATCGGGACGTACGATTGTTGGGGTCGACCTTTTGTAACCCCTTCTTTCAAGAGTGAAGAGACAGCATAGCTGGTCATCTGAAGGAAACATCGTACTGCTACTACATACCTGTTCCCCAGCAGAAAAAAATTCTCACACTAAGCCGGTAACTGCTTTTAGTCTAATGGCTATCCTAACATCTTTCCTGGCATAGTACAACCTGCAGGAACAATAGTTCCAGCCAGTGTAGCTTGTTCGGTCATTGCGATGTGCAAGCCCAACCACCATGTTAAGGTAGCAGCTATCGGTCGGGTTTTGGGTGGTCCCACTCGACCGATGGCCTGGCGCACAATAACACCCAACTCTCCTCAGAGTGTGTCCGATCTTTATCTGTTTTCGTTCGCTTATTTGTAGAGCGATTTGTCCTTTATTGGTTAGTTGCCAGAGTTCCTTACAGCTTTTAATATCTCAATTTATCTTTATATTATTCCTTGAGTCTGAATTGTGTTTTTGTGGAAATTTTCTTGATTTCAGCGTTGATTTCGATACAGACAAACATCATTTGAGTTAACTATTGGAAACTGGTTAGCAAATGTCCTACCGTACACAAATCAACCTTGCAGTTTATAATAATGCGTACTCGTCATTTTTATTTAAACATTCATATCTATCGTACTGCGATAATGACAGGATGATTTGTCCCCTTTCCTATAAGCTGGGATAATCGAATATCTACATTGGATTCCTTTCACACAAGTTAAAGCCTTATTTAATTCAGGCAGTCATGCACTATTGTCATGGTTAAAAATCCCCAGTCTTTCTGATTCGTGTTCAATTGGCAGCAACTTTGCAAATTCGACTACATTTTGAGAGCTATTGTATGGTTAAAAAAATGTGGTTCACAGTGTTCAGTCCAGCGTCACAACTATCTGTGATGAAAGCTTACAAATAATTCTCCCTTTCTCATTGATTGTTTTAGCATAATGAGCCTAAATAGTTGATATGTATATCATCCTCTTAACTGTTGGTGCCTCTTGGTTTTCATTCACTTTTGCTACAAACTGTTTTTTACGGTAGTTGTAACTCTACACCTAAACAGTTTTCGTTCCATCATCATGTTTTAAACCAGCTGTTATCACTATGTTGTTGTCGTTGGTTAGATACCAACTAAAGTGGCTTTTATCCATCTTTGACTGCAGGTTATTAGCTTCATTTGACTTGTTATTTGTGCAGCAAACTGGATGTGTCAGGATATGATAGTATCATGTTCAAATAAGTGTCTGGTTATTTCTTTCCCCTTTGTGTGTTGCGATTGTGTCGGTGGTTCGGCCGTAGAATGCTTGCCAATCAAGCATGTGATCCGGAATTCGATTTCCGGCTGACACACTCCTGAACCTTGCTAGTCTGGTAGTAATCCTGGTAACGAGGGAAGGTTGGGCTTGAGATTACCAACTCCATCCCGTGAGAATAAAAACCACTGCTAATAAAACAAACTTCAAAGCTGAATTCTTGAAGGCCTATGTTCTACTCGTAACGCAAAAGATAAAAAAACACCTCATTAAAGTTCTGGATACGCAATGACTTCAAAGGCGGTTTTGTTCTACTTCGGTTTTATCTCAGATATCTACACTTTTATGTATAATCAGAATTCTTAGAATTGTTCCAGCAGTAGCGCAATTCTTCTACCAATCCTTTCCGTCGACAACTTATACCAAAAATGCTTGACTTGTATCCTGTGGTTAGGGTTGTTTGTCTGTTTTAAATGACGATTAAGGTGAACTTTAAGTTATTAATACAGAGGACTATTCTTTTTTTCTTACAAAAATTTTTTCATGTTATCATCATTGCAATAGAGTGATAGATTTACACTGTATTTTAATGACTTATTTAACATTGTGCGGTGGATTTCACCACACTGTAAAAGTTAACACAAAAAGAGAAAAGAAAGACTTTTGATTAGATTTTATGCAAATAAAAAATTGTTCACTGATAAATATGACACATGCATGCATATGTACGCATGTTTGCTTGCTCATTCGGAAAACAAAAATATATATATATATATATGTATACCTGATTTAAATTTTAAATATACAAAGAGTTGAAAATGATTATATTCGTTGTTGTTGTTGTTTCGGAGAAAGGACACACAACCACTCACCCTCCCTCCTTTGTTCCACTTTTTTTAATCATCAGTTGAATATTATTCGTGATATGTTTCCTTATTTGTTTGTGTTTATGTTTGTTGTTTTAGTCAAGAAGAATTGAATTTTCGTCAATTTGTACGTAAATTAGCAAGATTTCGTAAGGTTAGATCACAACAATCCACAGAGTTTAATAATCGTGATGCTAAACTACGTTTCTTATTCGGTATGTATGATTTGGATATGGATGGTCGAATATCAAGTAATGAATTATTGGGTATGCTACAAATGATGGTCGGTGCTAATATCACTGTTGAACAGGTTTGTTAAGTTTTGAACGTGTTTCCTTTTTTCAAAGAGGTTCTTGTTGTTGTTTTTAATTTTACTTTTTGTTCCCCTCTCTTATGTAGTGTTTGCTGAAAGCATGACTATGTATGATTACTGGTTTATGGATATAACTTAGGATTGACGTATGTACGCATCCGTACGATTAGCAGTTAACCGTTTTGTATTATGTCATAATCGGCGATGACTGGTGGAGTTATCGTTTATTCCCTTGGGTTCCGAGTAGAATATAGGACTTCAACAACACATCTTTACTTCGTTCTATTTGGTGCTGTCGTCTTCAGCTAAGCCCAAGATTACACATAATGTCTAATCTCCTTCTCAAATTCACACGACCTCCTCCATGTCACCCTCACACCAACGACCCACTCGTCACTTCCCACTGGGATTCCACTCGAGCAATGGCCTGCATTGAGCGAGATGTCATTCGATGATCTCCTCAATGTATGCCCGATCCATCTCCATTTCCGGCTACATATTCGTTGAGCGATCGGCTCTTGGTTGGTTTGTTGCCAGCCAGTCAGAGTTTCTTGTTGTTAATTCTCTCTGACCGGCTGGCCATTTGATCTTCAGTATGGAGCCAGCCAGCGAAGTGATCAGCTGTTGATAAAAGTCTATGGTAACTCGTTGGAAATCCTTTTCGTCACTGACACGCCAGTCAAGTTTCTGACCCGTAAAGAAGAAGTGACTGACTGACTAACTAACTGACTTCACATTTGTGTTGAAAATCCGAATCTTGTTGTTTTTGCTGAGGCGGAGTGCAGTGCATAAGATTTCCAAACTGGTTTCAGGTTGATGGAGGTGTATATTGCCTTTCCGGTTGTCGCTGGCTGGCTGGTTGGCTTTGACTTCATCATTCGTTCCGCTGACTGGTTGAAACCATGGTTCCTAGATAAGTAAGCGAAGTAACCTCTAATAAATCTCTTCCGTTAATGGTGATTGGTGCTGGTTGTTGTTACTGTTGATTGGTTGTTTACCTACGTCACCGTCTTCACCTTCTCTATGTTCACCTGGATGGAGTCCTGTCTTCGCCACTAGCCTCTTCAATAAGTTTGTTGGTTTTTACCTGCAAGTCTTCGAGTTTGTGTGACATTAAACATAAATCATCCACACGTGAACTTCAGATCTTCTAGAATCTTCTTATCGGTGGTCCAGCGTATTCCTGTCTTCTCAATCCCCACTCACAGTCCGACGCATAATGCAGCACACCACAATTGAGAATATCATCAGTGATAATAGGTAGCCTTATCTTACTCTTGTCTGTCTGGTCTGTCTGGATTCAACATAGAACTTGGCACCGAAGTGCAGCAGTTCGAGTTGCCACGTTCCAAATAGCACACAGAGGTAGACAAGAAGATGAGTGGAGAGAATTAATAGAGTTTGACAAATATAGGAGTGAAACAGAATGGGTAATGGTAGAAAGGAATATGAAAGATTACAGAGATTGAATACATCTGCGCCATTGACAACGATTTTGAGCCATGTCACCTATTGTCTCCAGCCATTGATTCCTAGAGTCCCGAGGGCCCCAACCCGGGAGTCTGCATCTCCCTACCTGACTCAGTTTAACTGTCAAGGATTTCATGGATTGATGCCATGTTTTTGTTTGGCCACCACTGGCTCTTTTCCAACCTGAACCTATATCAGCTAGCAATGCCCGTCGGGGGAGGCGGTGGTTAGGCATGCGCACCACGTGACCTAGCCATCTTAGTCTATGTAACTTTATAACCTCGTCGATTGATTTTCCCTCTTTGCCCAACACTCTACGCCTAACGTCAACATTACTTATCTTGTGAAACCACCTAACGTGAGACAGAGATCGCAGACATCTATGATCGAAAGCAGTCAACCTTTTCATGTCTTCAACGCGTATTGGCCATGTTTCAGAGCCATAGAGAAGGACGGAGCGAACTGATGAGCAGTACACACGTCCCTTGGTTGATAACCGGATGTCACGCCTACGCCAGAGATGGTGTAAGTCAGCGAAAGCAGCTCGAGCTTTTCGGATCCGTGCTGAGATTTCATCGCCAATCAGTCCGTTGGTGCTAATACAACTTCCCAAGTAGGTGAAGTGGTCAACATGTTCTATCACTTCACTCCCTATCACTAAGTTAGGGGTTGACGTCGTCCAGTCCTGTAGCAGCATCTTACATTTTGCAGGGGCGAATCGCATGCCAAACATACGAAGATTGCTGCTCAAGGTGTTCAGAAGACTCTGCATTTTGTCAGCATCCTCCCCTAACAGGACTATGTCATCTGCATATTCTAAGTCCATTAGATTATTCCCTGGTAACAAGTCGATTCCTAAGTCACTACGTTCAGTTAAGGATACTTCCATTAGCATATCTATGATGAAGTTAAACAGAAATGGGGAAAGTGGACATCCCTGTCGGACACCACTGGTTGTTACTAATTCAGATGACAATTCCCCATAAGCCCTTACACGACTACGTGAGTTTGAATAGAGTGCCTTGATTAGTGCAATGTACTTTCTTGGCACTCCCTTCACAGTCAGACATTGCCATAGTACTTTTCGGTCCACGGAGTCGAAGGCCGCCTTCAAGTCAAGAAATATGACAATTGTTGGACGCCGAAAAGTGTGTCTATGTTCTAGAATCTGTCGAAGAGTGAAGATATGATCTATGCACCCTCTACCTGGTCTAAAGCCTGCTTGATTTTCCCTTGTCTGTTCCTCCCGAGTTCTGCTTAGTCTATGCATGATTACTGAGCCTAGGATTTTAGAGACTATGTTCGTTAGGCTGATCCCCCTATGATTATCACACGAGGACTTGTTTCCCTTCTTGAATATCGGTATAATGAGTGACTTACCCCAGTCTGATGGTACTGTCTCTGATTCCCAGACTTTGCCTAGTACCTCAGTTAATCTACAAACTAGTATGTCACCCCCATATTTAAACACCTCCGGAATAATTCCGTCGGGTCCTGCCGCTTTGCCTCGTTTCAAATTACTGATAGCTTTTGTAACCTCACCTACAGACGGCGGTCTTGTATGTACTTGGAACGCCTCGCAGAGTTTTCCGTTGTGGATCACCTGACACATCGCAGGTATTGTCATATAATCAGCTGTCGAGTGAGGTTGATAAAGACTTGGCCAATACACACCGTAGTGTTGAAGTAGTTTCCAACGCTCTCTGTCGAAGGCCTTCTCAAATTCGATGAAATTGAGGTAGAGAGAGGTTTGACTGGCATTCTATGCTTTGTTCTGCTATGATGATGATGCATGGAGTTGCATTTTGATCAGCACATGATTTGCCTTTCCTAAATTTAGTCAGCATGTTCCGGTAGGTTGGAGGAGTTCTGCATTCAGTGCATCTTTTATTCTCTCCAGGATGATGCGACTGAGTATTTTACTTGGCGAGGGTGAACAAGAGCATTATTCGACGCCAGTTCTTGTAGAGTGAAGAGTAAGTTGTCCTAATTCGGTAGTTTGATAAGGTAGCCAGTCTTTCTCCCAATCGGTAGACACCATCCCTTCCTTCCTTCTAAACCTCTTACAATAATGGCATGAGCATATCTGCTGCAGTCTCTGTGTCCGTTTTCAGTGCTTCGGGGTGGTGGAATTCCGTCTGGCTCTTCTGCCTTCCCGGCCATACTTCAGTAGCTTGATCGCGATTAGGAGTTCTGCTTTGATTGGTTGGAGGATTGGTTTCCAGTGACAGTCAGTTCTGTGCATGGTGTTGGTGGTTGGGGTCGTGGTATTTCTGGACCAATTGCAGGTGATGGTTGATTCAAGAGTCTTGAAATGATATGGCAGAGCAAGGTCTGGTTCTATTCTGCTTATTTAGTGATTAAGGTTCTGTCGCTCATTCATTGTTCATGTACGTTGTTTGAAGTTTGATCACGCATTCATATCAGTTGTAGAACTATTGGATACTAGCAAAAGTTACTAGGCAGTTGTTTCGTCCTTGTTTGGGACTCATCATCGTCCATCGGCTGATGGCCAGTTAATGAATTCTAACTTCTATCATTTCGTAAACTCATGGGCCACTGAATCGATTCTCAGTGGCTGGAAAGGTCTACGAGCTTGCCTTGTAACCGGAAGGTCCTGGGTATGAAACCCGGTGGGTGCATACTGAGTCCAGCACTAGGACGAAACATCTATCCAGTACTCTCTGGTTGTGCAATGGTTCTCTAACTCATATCAGTCTGTCGACGAACTTGAAACAAATCAAATCCCTGCAGACTAACTCTTGAATATCGGTTATACTATGTAGTTGTACCACCTATAATTGTTCAGGGAATGTATTTCGCAATCTTTACCTAAGTGCGTGTGTATATAATCAAGGGTGATGAGTGAGAATAGAATATTTCGACTTTTTCTACACTATGTTTTAAAAATTAAGCATTATAATTCATTATCTGGCATCATTTATTACATTGAGATTTGTAGTAGGGGAGAGGAGTTCACTATTAATTCAGTTGCTGTAGTGTAATCAGTCATATTAGTTGTTCGTTTTGTCGTTGAACACTTGATTAACCAACTTCCTGATTGTTTGTTGAAGATTCAGTTTTGTAACACGATAATTATCATCGGAGGGGGAAAATGAATAGTAAAATAAATGAAGCAGGGAAGAATGTCATAAAAGGGGCGGGATTTTTTTAGTTTTGAAACTACACCATTTTTATTCGAAGCATACTTCTTTTCTTGTTCAATGATGAAAATGAGCTCACTGACTTGATGGAGAAATAATTACAGCTGAACAAGGCTAAATAACATTACCATGAAACTTGCCTCGTACATGTCGCTGAGAACTGATCAATTCATTTTCTAGAATAAACTACAGGGATTTTTTTAAGTATTCAGTAAAAGGTTACTACATATAAGTGACAAAATATTAAACTTAATTATTAAAATGGTGAGATATCGTTAACTTCAGTAGGCTTTAGGTAGCAACAGCTAAAACACAATAAAAATAAGTAGTACGTTAAGAAATAAGGTAAAAGAAATAGAAATTAGATTGCTTGCATTGTTTTTAATTTAGGTAAGGATTGGTTATACATTCATTCTGAATACAAGGGTTAGCTTTAAACCTCTAGACTGCAGTAGCTATTGAAAAGTATGCAAACTTTATCAGTAGGGATTGATTGATGAGTCAGTCTTGTAAATGACTCACTGATTGACTGGTTTCAAAAAAGACTTTTTACAGACGTGCACCAATTCGAGTTGCCACACTCCATATAGCACAAAGGTAGACGAAAGAGAGAGAGAGAGAGAAAAAACAAAGAGGTTCCAAAGAACAGTAATAACCAGAAATGTGAGGAAACAGAACAGTAGCAGCGCGGGGTTTTATTGGATATGACAGATTATAAAGAGTGAGTGCATCTTAGTCATTCAGAACGATCTCGAGCCGTATCACCGATTGTCTCCAGTCATTGGTTCTTAGTATGCTGACAACTCCAACCAGTCAGGCAGTCTACACCTCCCTAATTAATTGTTAAAGATTTCATGGACTGATTCCATATATTGATTTAACTACCACTAGCTCTTTTCTAACCTTATCCTATATCAGCTAACATTGTGCTCATCGAGTAAGATGGTGCCTAGGCGTCCTACCCATGTCAATCGATATAGCTTAACTTCATAACAAGTTAATTAGTTGAAATACAAATAATATATTGACCGATGTGATCACTCAAGTCGTACTTATGATTTTCAGATTAACAATATTGGCGAACGAACAATGGCGGAAGCAGACCTCGACGGAGATGGCTATATATCCTATGACGAATTCGTACAGGTATGTTTAGTTTCCTATACTAGTACAAGTGATCTCCAGCGTTGTATTATTATATCCATTGTAAGTAAGCCATTCCACCTAGAGCCGGTGTTAAGGTGGTTGAAAAAGGCAGGTTGGGTGTGAAGCTAGTGAACCCACCCAGTCGAAAAAAACAACTCTATTACTGAAAATCCAGAACTCAAACTTAAAGCTCTATTTTCCACTTGATAAGATGGGTGACAAGTGAAGTAGTTACTAGAATCCGTTCAACGTGAAAATAATATTAACAGGAGTAACAAGAATGAACATGTACAGTAATTAAACAAAATATTGAATAAATATACGGCTATACTAGAGATGGGGTTTTAATTATTTTCCTTAGATGGATTGAGAACACAAGGAGAAATCTGTCTGTGCAGACCTCTGGCTTTTGTGTTTCGATAACTCAAGCCTCAAACTATGATCACATATTTTGTCGGAATTCACATTAATATTTTTGAAAGTCATACATATGTATGCGGTTGTGTAGAGCTTGGTGATAAATTCACCGAACAAAGAGTGTTTTCTCTGAATCTCTTTTTTATTATTTTTTTATTGGTGTTCTCACATTGGTGTTTATTTCATACCTTGTATTTCGAGTAGAACATAGGGTGGTGTTGTTGTTTTTCTTGTGAAGTGTGGTTGTTGGCATCTCTGTCTTTTATGGGCGTGCCACCGGTTAGTAAACTAGCTGGGGTTAAAGAGTGCTTCGTCCTGATGTCCAACGCGGACCGTATGTGTGTCAGGTGAGTGTTCTACAAAGAATTCTTAAATACAGACGGCAGCGATATATTTTTGTGCTAAACTGTTTCTTTCAATCGTTTTGTTTTTCACACGGCACGTAATTCGCACGAATGTATGCATGTAAACTAGTGTGATCCCGGGTCCGAGTACCGCCCCACCTTGGCGACTGGGAAGGTTGGGTTGTAGTAGAGGCTAGTGACCTCGTTAAAAAAACAAAACAAGAAAAATACCGCTACTGAAACTTCAGAGTTGAATGTTGGAGCTCTGTGTGTATGATTAGCCCCCCCCACAAAATAAGTGTGCCTCATAGTCCTCCAGTGCTGAGTAATTGAGTAATAGCTAACTGAACTACCTTTTTGAAATGCAATAATACATGATTCCTTTTGACATTCATATGTTTATTCCTATCGTCGGTTTTATACATTTCAATAATTTAACAGGCCTTTGACAATGTGGATATTGAACAGAAGATGAGTATTCGATTTTTGGAATGAACACAAACAACTTCCCCACATTCATTAGTAGTTAATATCCATATACGTCGTATAACAGTACAATCCCATGCTGAGAACAACAGCCAATCAAAATCATTGTATATCATCTTTTTTTTTTTAAATAAAAGAAAGGGATCACTACTTCTTGTCACCATCTGACGTCTACTTTGTATTATAGTTGACTCTCACCAATCACACATACACACACGCACATACACAAGTATACACAGTGTCACTCATCAGTTACACAGAAACATATCTGAAACACTTATCTCCCTTATTTCTATAATATTCTCATCGCCTATTTCATCATCACACTATGCATATCTCACTAATATTGTTGTTGTTACTGTTAGTTATAGTCTTCAATATATTCCCATTGTTTGATGATAATAAATAATAATAATAATAATGTCAATGATTTGACAGGGTCCTTCCTAATTATTGTTAAGTAATACTTTCAACTTTTTTCTTCAAAAAATCGATGATTCTAACTAACCATTTCAGTGCGATTTGTTATTTCGTCCTCTTGCTGTTCTCTCATTCCCTCTGTCTCTGTTTCTGTACGTTCTGTCCAGTTTTTGATTGCTTATTTTATGTATTGATTTTTCAGAGACGATAACCATTGTATTTTTTAAACTGTGATTTTAATTATTAGTACAAATTACCATATTATTTACTGTTTGTATGATCATAGACTGTAGTCTATCTCAAAAAATAACTACAAATTTGATTGGTTGTTTGTTGAGAGTGGGTTGATGAGTGTAGATGATAAAAGCTATTTTTGAATGAGTCGTACTCATGTATTCATGTAAACTATACATATATGCAGTAAATTGTGAATGTATACAAATAATGATAATAATAACGGACAGGTTTATGTTCTGTGACCTATTTACCTAACTGCATACACACACACATCTACATACATGCTTATAGTACACTAAAGATTTCCGATTTTTTTGTGATTTTTACTGCTAATATCAGTAATACAATGTTTTATTGTTAATATTAATAATATTCAAGCCTTCATTTTATTGAATAACGAAAAACAAACTTTTTTAGTACTTATAATTTCGTCTTTTCTCCAACTACTTACTCTATGTTACACGATGTTTATGCATGTAGTAGCCTGCTGATTCTGTATGTTTTCAACAAAGAACTTTGCACCGACGTGCAACAGTTCAAGTCGCCACACCCCATGTAGCACATAAAGCGAGAGAAGAAAGTAGAAGAAATGTAAAATAGAGACAGTAGACAGGGATATGAAACCAAAAGAAATAGTAATAACGAAGAACAACATAGTTTTATTGGAAATTTTAAGTCACAGGGAGTGGATGCATCTGGGCCATTGAGAACGATTTTGAGCCATATCATCGATTGTCTCCAGCCTGCTGGTTAGTGTGACTGGATTTCGATAGCTCGTTAGCTACGTAGGTGGTGGAAAGATAGGACAGCCTGCCGTTTGACTGGTTCTCAGCTGAGCTTGCATGCGATTTACGGGGGATTGATTCAGTTTAGAGAGTTGGGACATTCCGAACTACCGGAATTCTAGCTAACTACATAAGTCAAATAGTGATACATGGAATACACTGAGCTGTTATTATTATTGTCGCGTTGGGTTCCGAGTGGAACATAGGGCTTCAACAGAACATCTTCATTTCTGCCTGTCCTCCACAGTCCTCTTCAAATGGCCCCTCGATTGCTGATACCCTCTCATCTCCTCCTCAAAAGATCCGCTCCACATCATAGCCTGGCGTCTAACTCGTCGTTTCCCATTCCGGTTCTACTTGAGCTATGGCCTGGCGCGCGATGTCATCCGATGGTTTTCTCACTGTGTGTCCATCTCCTTTTTCTTGGGGATATTTATCGAGCAGCAGGTTATTGATTGTTTTGTTCCTAAAGTTTCTTGTTGCTAATCCTCTTTGGCCGTCTGATCTTTACTATGAAGGCAGCTGCTGATAGAAATCTGCAGTAGCCGGTTGGAAATACTTTTTGTGACTGTCGTTACAAGTTTCTGACTCATATTAAAGCAGTGACTGATTTTGATTTAGTTGTGTCCTCTGATTTCATTGCATAGCTTAAAAGTAGATCACATGACAATAAAATTTAAATTCTAAGTCAATAAAAATGATCAACATAGACGTAAATTAACAACCAACAACGATAATAGTTGTCAGGAGATACAGTTACACCAATCATGGGGAATTCGAATAAGTCCATTTTATACTGAGATCTACTCTGAAGATTTTGTCTAGAAGGTGGACAAAGAAAGCTCAATTAAATCTAAAACCATCTGAGAGAACACGACTACATGTAAATCATCATCACCGAGCTACAAATCTCCATTATTTCAAATTGTGACTGATTTAACATTGGTGTTGAAAATGCGGATATTGTTGTTTATGCTTCGGGGGAGTGCAGAAGACCTCTAAACTGATTTCAGAGTGATGAAGATCTATTTTGCCTTTCCGACTCTGGTTTCGACATCCTCATCCATCCCTCCTGTGGTTGAAAAGATGTTGGTTAGATGAGTGAAGGAGGTGACCTGTTCCGCATTTCTCCTGTTGATAGTGATCGTTGTTTGTTGTTGTTGGTTGGTTATCTTCATCACTTCCGTTTTCTCTATGTTTACTTGAAGTCCTGTCTTCGTCGCTTCTTCTACCGACCTGTTGGTTTTCGCCTGTATATCTTCGAGTTTCTGCGACATTTGACATAAATCGCCCGCAAAGTTCAGATCTTCTGGATTCTTTTCATCCGTCCGGTGTATTCTTGTCTTCCCGCCACTCAGTCCACCACAGTTAGAAATATCATCAGTTGTAGTAGGAAGCCCTATTAGTAAGCTTTGTGTAAGACAATACAGTTTGGCGTGAGAAGCAGTGTTTAAGTCTGTCTGTCTGTCTGGATTCAACATAGAACTTGGCACCGAAGTGTTTAAGTCATGTGTGTCTGGTTAGTGAGCACTAGTAATGATTGTTGTAAGTAATTTCCAAGTATTTATATCGATCAGCAGTACTTATCGCGTCCCATTCATAATATCTATCTTTAGTATTGAGTAATTAACACATTGTGATATGAAAACTTTGGTTTGCTGTTAAAACCCATAGTAATACCCCATTAGATCGATATGGTTTCGATGTAGTGTAAGGATATAAGTGGCTCATAGGCTTAAGCAGCTGACTTTCAGTCAGTGCCCCGTGGACTCAAATGCTGCTCCACCTTCTTCAGACTGGACAGCTCCATCACAATCAGTGTGACACACATTCGGGAGCTGAGTTTAAATATTGTGAATGGAACCCTAGTATTGAAATAATAAAGTAATAACTTGCAGGTTTTATGGTTTGGTTAATAGAAGGATACTGTCGTGTTATTAATCAATTACTCTTTCTCTGATAACATTCATTGTGTTGCAAAGAATCGGCTGCAAACACTTCAACAGACTGCTAACAGTTGGTCTAATCGCTGTAAGTAATATTACGTAATTAGGAAGAATATCTAACATTAGGAATACAGCTGAATAAACTAGGGACTTGAATGACTGATCATGTGACTTAGAACTTTGCGTAGAAGTACACCTATCCAAGTTGGTGTAGTACTGACAAGTACACTGAAACGTAATGTAATAACACTATGATAGGGAAACATATGTGCGGGCGATAATCAAATAGAGGCCAGCGCGAATGTCGAGAGCATAGCTTACGATAGGGAGTGAATACATCCGCGTCAGTGTGTCTGACTTTAGACCACTAAAAGTCTCCAACGATATATACGTAGTACTTCAACCAGACAATCACAACTATATGCATAATACATACATTCAATGAATTTGTGGATTGGTGTCATGTTTTGCTGTAATATCAGCTAGCTTGTTTTCAAGTTAAACTTATGACAACTGAAATCTTTGGTGAGAAATACTGTAGTTCGGCATGCAGAACACACGTCATAGTCACCTCAGTCGATGAAGCTTCACTGATACGTCGAGTGGCTTGCTACTGCCACCTTATATTATGTCAGACTTCGTTATAACTTACTGTATTGCTACACGTAAGATGTGCAACTGAACAAAGACATCTGTACCCGAGAACCTCCAGTCCGACTACTTGCAGCCACTAAGGTATAAATCAGAACGGATCAAACTACTACTCAGTATATAAACTTTTCGGCGGATATCCGGATATCACACTAGCCCTGAAGGTGTAGGCTGATAAGTTCTGAATGGGACGCTTGTATTCATGTTGAGATTACATCAACAGCCCGTTAATTGTTGAAAATGTAACAGACATTCCACTATCTACCTTTAAACTAGGATACAGTGCTCACTATTGCTCTAGAGTCATCTTTAATGTGATAAGGGCTTTTTGTTATGTGCAACACTAGACTAGCTCTACAGTTTAGTATTTAGAATTCAAACTGTTTGAATACGGATAATTTATCTGTTAGTCAGACAGCAATTCAGATTTCACCGTTTTTGATGATAGATGCACAAAACTCGGCCTATTTTACCTCATTCGACGAATAATTTTCTTCTTTAGAACTCATAGTCCTCGAACAGAAGCTTGAACTCTTTAAATCAACATAAAATTAAATGCATACTAACTCTTAAGTGAAGACCACAGGTAATAACTCACACAATTCAGACGAATTAAAAACCTGAAAAAGGCTCAGTGTAGTCCTCAAGAGTCACAGTCTAAACTGACAAAATTTTATATATCGCTTAGACGACAGCTTGTTCACTGTGTCACTCAATGAGTAAAAGAAACGTACCAATCAGAAGATAACTAACGGATAGCTTTAGATTGAATGATGATCAACTAGTCAACGAGGACGTCCATGTAAGCACCAGACCAGCTGGTTTGATAACTCCACTAATCCACAGTTGTATGCTCAGCCTGAGAAAAGCAGTGCTAATTTTCTACATCGCCTAATTCTGGACATGTCAGTGTCCCCCTATAATTCCACTACAAAATGGTTAACAGTGCTATTAGAGTTTGCAAGAAAACATTAAGCCTGCTTCTTGGAAAGACATTAAAACTGTTCATGTGTTTAAATCATCAAGTGGACCAACTTTTAAGTTTATACCTATTGTCATTACTTCACCTTTTCTAAAAATAATGGCGAAACTGTTGTTACTTAAACTTGAACCTTCATTGGACGCTTTTAATGACTTTGAACAATTTGCTTATAAGCATAGTAGATGTACTTCAGATACCACTGTCGTCTTATTTCATACTATTGTCTCTAATTTAAAAACAGATGTCACATATGTCCGGTGTGCCTTTCTAGATTACACATCTGTGTTTGACTCTGTACGTAGGCTTCTGTTTTTAAACATCTTGCTGCTACACAAGCAGAGTGGTTGACTAATAAGCGGTTGCATTCCTTTTTTTCTGATAGAAAGCAGTACACTCTTTACAATGGGAAGTCCCCCACTTCTCCACTTACCGTAGCTGGTGTTTCTTAGGGGGCTGTTCTTTCTCCTTTTCACGACTTACCGCATTCTAACCAAGTTAATTGTGCCAAGAATGCCGATGATCTGACAGTTTCCATACCTGTTACTTCTCAATCAGACTGTTCACAAATGCATAACGTTTTATCAGTGGTGCTTGGGCTTAAATGGTCTTAAGCCAAATCCTTCCAAATGTCAGCCTGTTAATTTCACTTTCAGATGCAAGTGAGACTTACAAGAACTGGATAATTCACACGGTTCCTCTATCATAGACGTCACAGAAGTTAAAATTAAATCTAATGTTACGCAACTTTGGACAGTCTATTTCCTCTAATCACCTTTTCTGGTCTTCCCACATCATATTAGTTTCCAGAAAGACATTTTTTTTAGCATTCTAAGTGACGATCTGATATCACTTCGTCTCTACTTTCTAAGTTTGTCAATTCTTGTGTTTTACCTCTCCTTCTCTATGGCTCTTCCTTAATCCTTCCCAGGCTACTTAAGAAACAATGTGTCACACTGCAAAGGGCACTAAAAGCCGTTAGTAGGGCGACTGGGAGTGTTGCTAAACCAGCTCGTTAATACTATTGTGGATAGACACTTAGATTTCTGCAAGAAAGTAGTAAATATTATCTTTTCACACTCTGAGCACCCTCTCTATACACAACTCTCTTCTTGAATCTCATCAGGCATAACTAGAAACAACTATAGAAGACTAAATGCACGAATAACTAAGTACAAAAGCTCTACAATACCTTATTTGGCTGGGACACATTTTATGTGATAAGAAAAGTGTAAGACAGAACATTACCAAATTACTGCGGAACTCTAAGTAAACGGCCCTATTTTTTTTCAGTATTATATTATTGCTAATGTTTTCACTAAATTTAGTTTGATAATCATATTCATACTGAACAACACTCTTAGCCCATGTAATGAGAAACTCAGATACAGTACTGTGTACCACATGCTGAAAATTCTATATTTATAACAAAAATACTGTTTGTAATAAAGTTATTATTGTTTTTATTATTATTATTTAGATACTATCCACGTGGTACCTATCCATTAGTTGACCTAATAAGAGAATTGGATGTTTATGAAATACGGATAACATCACTTGTTGTTCAGTCAATTTCAACAAATGTATAACTCAATGAAACGATTTGTCCCCTGGACAAAACGTAGCACAGGAAAATTCGAACACCGGATTAAAGAATCCATAACTCGAAGAACTACTACACACATATATTGTAAATTTTCAATTCACATTGATTGAATTGATTTACAGACAACCAGATGGTATATATATACATATATATATATAGGATCACCCTTAGGTCTGCTACTTGGAGACAGCAGTATGGCACATCTAGAGAATGGTACAGTGAAACCAGTGATCGGCAGCTTTTATTCTTCTATCATCTGGGATGAGGAGTTTGTTCCGAAACATATTCTGCAGGTTTTTTAAGTAGTTGTTGGCCGTCCGTCAAATTTACTGTAGAAACACAAAATGTAAATAAAATTTTCCTTCTTAATGTACCACTGATGGGGGGGGGGGAGGGGGCAAGACTGAAGGAGAACTGACAAGAATAATCTGCCGAAAAAACCATATGGATTTATCAACTGGCTATCCCTTAGTCAAAAATGTAACTTGATTTTATCTGTTACCAGTGGGGTTAGGAGAGACTGAACCTCAAAGATGTGCACAATTCGACCTCATTTTCTGGTAAACTCACTAATTGAAAACTGATTTATTTCATGCCTTGTTGGCTAGTGAGTAAGTTCTAAACCTAACAGATAGATCTGTATCTTATTTTAAAGAGAAAAAGAGCGAGAGAGAGATTATGAGTGAAGTTCGAATAGGGCTGGGATAAGACACTTTCAGACAATCAACTTGCTGAGATACTATTTGGACTTGGCGACTAAGTTTTACATTCACTTTAGTAGGCTACAGTTCTACTCGTTTTTAATCAACATGAATTCACTAGTTAACATCAATAAATAAATAAATAAATATAAATAATTAATTATCGTGTGATTAGATTAATTTTTAATTTATTAGTAGACACATTCAAAATACACATTTTGTGTATATTTTTATCTGTATCTACACAGAATGAGGTGAATTCAAGTTCTCTTCATAACAAGTGTTTATTAAGTTGATTTGTTTGGTCTCGGAAACTGAATAAATGAAATATATTGTTAATTAGCAGAAGTATTTGGAAGTGGAGGAATAAGTGCAGATAAAGAAACAACGGAATGACGCTCACTTGGTAAAGTTGTCAATTTGATTAAGAAAGCTAATTCACTTGGTGACGTAGCAATCACTCCAGCTATTTGTTGATTTGTCAACTGTGGCCGACAGCATTTACACACTGGTAACTGTCCGGTATCCGTTACTATTTGTGCTAATATTGTACGAATAGTTGAGATACGATCCTAAAATAGAGAAAGAAAGAACACAATACAGTTCATGTACATGAATATATGAGATAGAGGAAGAATTATGTATGTCTATCAACCACCATCTCTCTCTCTCTCTCATGCACATACATACACACAGCGAAGACGTATCAAAATATTGACGGAAAACGTTGTTCTCGTCAAATGATCAGATTCCCCAACTACCTTCATCTTTACTCAAAATATAAACTAAACAATACAGTGTTTTTTATGAAATTTTCCAATGTCCTTGAGTAAAGTTCATCAGTAAAATGGAAAATTTCATATACTTAATGACACAGTTATTGAATAGTTTTCCGTTATGGACTCAAAGACAAGGAATGACTCTCAACGTACACCTACCTGGAAGCCAATAGAAGAGAGAAGAGGGTAGTGGTGAAACGGAAGATGACTCAATGCAAAGACGGGCAACAGAAGGAGAAGCTGAGCTCACTTTACAATGCACTGAATAAAGCAGTGAAGAAGAGTGCTAGGAAGGAAATTTTACGACACACTGGTCAGGAACTGAAGCAGAACAGGGAGGTCGCAGGTAAAGGAGACAGGACATTATATCAAATAACTAGGTCTCTATCCGGGAGGACACCAACCCAGATGACGAAATGAATAAAATATACTCAAGGGAACCTTATCACCAAGGAGGAGAAACAAATAAAACAATGGGCTTATCACTTCAAAGGATTATTGAATCGACCATCATCTGCAGTTCACGACCCCAACCACCAACACCATGCACAGAACTGACTGTCACTGGAAACCAATCCTCCAACCAATCAAAGCAGAACTCCTAATCGCGATCAAGCTACTGAAGTATGGCCGGGAAGGCAGAAGAGCCAGACGGAATTCCACCACCCCGAAGCACTGAAAACGGACACACAGACTGCAGCAGATATGCTCATGCCATTATTGTAAGAGGTTTAGAAGGAAGGAAGGGATGGTGTCTACCGATTGGGAGAAAGACTGGCTACCTTATCAAACTACCGAATTAAGACAACTTACTCCTCACTCTACAAGAACTGGCGTCGAATAATGCTCTTGTTCACCCTCGCCAAGTAAAATACTCAGTCGCATCATCCTGGAGAGAATAAAAGATGCACTGAATGCAGAACTCCTCCAACCTACCGGAACAAGCTGACTAAATTTAGGAAAGGCAAATCATGTGCTGATCAACATGCAACTCCATGAATCATCATCATAGCAGAACAAAGCATAGAATGCCAGTCAAACCTCTCTCTACCTCAATTTCATCGAATTTGAGAAGGCCTTCGACAGAGAGCGTTGGAAACTACTTCAACACTACGGCGTGTATTGGCCAAGTCTTTATCAACCTCACTCGACAGCTGATTATATGACAATACCTGCGATGTGTCAGGTGATCCACAACGGAAAACTCAGCGAGGCGTTCAAAGTGAATGAAGATAGGAGTAAGACAAGCTGGCTGCCTACTATCACTTACGATGACATTCTTAATTGTGGTGTACTGGATTATGCGTTAGACTGTGCGACGGGTCTGGTCTCAGTTTATATGCATCAGCCTTTAGCACTATTTCTACAGATGACTGGATATTATGCCAGGATTCCTCAAGATGGGTCTTTTTATCAATCTCAGATAAGCATTTAGTTATTTCTACCCTAAATTAAAAACTGAGTTATCACCGATATTTAAGTGGCGTAGTGGTTTTCTATATCTGTTCGGTCTTAAGCATATACTTTCAGTATCACATTTATTGGCTGAGGTTAGAAGGCTTGCATGAACTATTGCGGGATCAGATTGTACTCAGGTGTTTCGGGAGAAGAGACAGTCGTCTACCCACCCTCGCCATCTGTAGCTTATTGCTGCGTGGTCTATTTTTAGTCCAGAGTTTATCTGTTGGTGTTGGCTGGGAAGCTGATAACTTTTTGTCAGCATGTTGATCGTCATGGAATTTCAGCATACTCTTCTGGCCTGCTAAAAGGACTATATCTGATGTCTTCGCTTTTATCAGCAAACCAGACAGCTCTTGATATAACTCATTCTTTAATTCGTCCAAACTGTGTTTACGAGAGGACTTTCACGGATATCAAATTTTTTCCTTCTTCTAACGGATCAGTCGGACATCATATGTACAAGTATCTATCACAATTCACTGCACTAAGGAATTCCGCACCCTAGCACTTGATGCTATTCCTCCACCAGCAATTCAATGCCAGCTAGCCTTAAAGTCTCATGACACCAGTGAGGTGAATTTTACTGCTGTGTTGACTAGTTGAGGTTAAGTGAGTAACAACGCCTTAGTTTTCAATGCATGTCTCCGAGACACAATACACATTCATGACTCGAGATGCCAGAGTTTTGGCTAATCAAGCCTGTTGTCCAATTTGGTGTTGGTTGTTGGCATTGGACATTCTGGTATGAAGTCGTCAGCATGGTTCTAAGAGAATGTGAGTAGTGATATTCAGTTTCCGTCCACTATTGATAGCTGCAGAGTTAGTAGAGGATGAGGCATCCTTCTGTAGAGTCGCATTTATAATGTGGTGAAAGCTGGAAGGTAATGAGTGATCATAAGGACAGCTTTGTGTGTTTATGGAATTGCGTGGTCGGTTATTACTTCCCGGTTGCTAACAAGGTGGATTTAATTACTTCTTGATGTGCCTGAAACAGAAGAAGCATTAGCGTTGTATCAGAGGACGGCTGCTTGAGGCTTGTCACACAGGGCTGATTTGATCTAATTTTTGGGTTTGTGTCTGTATTAAGATCTTAATGCTAATTACGGACCGCCGCAATGTAAGCAGCTTACAATGTAATGACAGCTGCTTTCAACTATACAAAAGATCTTTCTGGCATGGCAGGGATTCCTTAAATATTCTTTCCAAGCAGTATAGCTCACTGAGCCAGTACAGTATACAAGCCCGACCACTACGTCAAGATGGCAACTGTTGGCCAAGGCACACAAAACTAATGATTTTTCTCTTTCTGACGACTCAAGAAGTAATCAACCTCCAAAAAGTGAGAAACTGGAAAGTAGCAAATGCTCTCACACATAGAGTTTCTGTATTTCCCAGTCAACCTTGCTAACATGAGATAAATTCACTGATATTGTAGAATGTTAGTATAGAGGTGTTTTATGGGAATGCTTGCATCAAAATATTAGCGATTGCATAGTACATTTAAATTGGTATTTTGACATCCCAGTGTCAGAATACAATTGGTTCTAATATTGGAACAGCTAAATCTCTTTCGGATGCTTAGGGAGTTACATAGCTATTTTGAAACATTACATATCCGAGGAAGTTCAACTATCACTTTCGAGCTCCTGTTGTACTCATTATCAGGCACATTCCAAGGGTACCAACCACATCAATAACTCGTTTTATTATCTGTTCAAAAAACTCCTCTTTATGGTACACTTTTAGCTTATTCAGTCCTGGGATTTTTTCGCATTCTTCCAGCACTTGTAGGTTACATTAACTACTGACCGATTTGGCACTAGTGTGTATAGGCTTGTATAAGACTAGTCACGTGTTTGGAAATAACGTCACAACCAATCTCCATAAATTAGTATCGTCGGTGAGTCATAGGGAAGAGAAACCCCCTCCAGCTATCATCATTCCTCCTGAAGTTTATTAATATTCAACTGTGATTCCTTTAGCCTCCGAGTGGGCAGAGACCTCCAACAGCTCATCTGCAATTCACCCTGCTCTCTGAAGACTTTTATAGCTAGCACTTATTTCCTCTTCACACGACCACCTGCATGTCACCCTCGGACACCCACTCAAGGGTTTGGTACGAGGTGCCACTCAACGGTCTCCTCAGTGTCTGTCCGATCCGCCTCTATTTTCTTCGGCATATCTGTCCGGTGATAAGTTCTTGGTTGAGTGGTGGGCACAGCTGCTTATTGGCGATCCATTCTGGCCATCTAAACACATGCATCCAGCCACCCAAGGCAACTGCAATAAAAGCCTAGAGCCTGTTCGAAATGCTTTTGGTGATGCGCCACGACTCTGAACTATGTTGAAGAACTGACTCGACATCGGTGTTGGATATCCTAATCTGTTTCTTTAAGCTGATAACAGCAGAGTTCCGCGCTGATTTCAGAGCAATGAAGGTCTGTTTCGCCTTTCCAACCTTGCTATTTGACATCGCCTATAGTTAGAACGATTTCTGCAATTTAAGAAAAATTTTATCCCTTCACCTTCCAAGTGGAACATATTTTCAGACTAGAGCTTCAAAGTCTCAGCAGCAATAGTTTTATTTTTAAGGGGTGGGGTTGCCAGCCTCACAGCCAGCCCTTCCTCTTTACTGGCCTGAATACCGGTTTAAAGAGTTTTAGGAGTGCGTTGGCCAGACCACGTGGGCATTTGGCAAGCGTTCTACTGCTAAACTACAGACGCACATAGTTGAGACGATGCTGCCTAGATAAGTGTGAGAGGTGACCTCTTTCAGATTTCTCCTGTCTTCAATGGTTGGTGTTTTTATTGTCATTGTCAGTTAATTACCCTTATTAACTATGCCTTCTCTATGTTCACTTGGAGTCCTGTGTCCGTCGTTCCTACGGCCAACTTGTTTGTTTTAGACTATAAATCGAGTTTGTGTAACATTAGACATATACATATCGTCCGTGAGGTTCAAATCTTTTACAGCCTTCTTACCAACCCAACGTCTTCCTGTCTTATTTCTCCTCATAGTCTTCCACATAATCCATTCCACCACAACCAGTAGTATCACTGGTGATCTTAGGCACCGTTGTTTTACTCCTGTCTTCACTTCAAAGACTTCAGTGAATTCTTCGTTGTGGATCACCTGACATGTGAAGTGATCATCTCACACACACTGAATGAGGATGAAAAAGACTTCAAGCTCTCTGAAGTATTGCAACAGTTTCCAAATCACTTCTCACTTAAAGCTGCCAAAATCGATAAAGTTAAGATGGAGATTTGAATATAATTATATATTCCTTTAAATTATGATGCTTCGAGTTGCTATCCGATCAATAAATTAT